TAATAATAATAATAATAATAATACTTAAACTGTTCACTTATCTACTCTATTTCAAATCAAATCAAAAATTATAAAAGGAAAACGACATACAACTTGCATTTCACAAGAGTCAAACATATATAGAATATAGAACAATAGAAAGCTGAAGGCATCAAGACTTTCATATGCTATTCACTTTGTTCTACCTCCACGGCACTGGAAATCACCATGATTGTGGGGCTTTTTGAATGAAGTAAGCAACTTCTACAGGGACTCTAACAAATAGCATTTGTTTAGGTGAAAAATATTAATCGAGTATGTGGTTGTTAGGTTCTTTGTTTTGTAGTACACGACTCTTAGAGGGAGACCATACTCACATTTCGGAGGCTTCCTTTATTTAAAAATTATTGTTATGTAGTTCAACATATATAGTTTAAATTGTACTTGTAATATGATAATATTATAGTTATAATACCGCATATTTACAATTATGATATAGTATTAAATAAATAGATATATATAATATTATAGTTTTAAAAAAATAAAATCAATCATTAAATAATCTAAAATTTACTTTTTAATATTTTATATAATATAATTTATACTATATTATTGATTTCAAATTTTGGTATCATCATTAAAACAAGAGTGCTATATGCAGTTGATATGCACTTCTCTTTTTATTATTCCACTCTTTTGTTTTTTACTTTTTATTTTTTAATTTTTAAACTAAAAAAATTCATATCCAAACCCATGAATGTCCAGATATAAATATCGAGTATAACTAGTATATATTTCTCTTTACAATAAAACTCATATCAATTCACTTTATTAGTTTATTTACATGTTAAAATTTTAGTGGCCCATTTACCACGTCAATGTATAACCACTATATGGGAAACCCTCTTCTTTTTTTTTCTTTTTTTTTTTTTTAATTAGGAATCACCTTCTCATGCTCTAAATTAATCTATACATAGTAAACTTTGTAAGAACTAAATTAATCAAAGTGTCTCTTTTAAAAGAAGCAAGAGAACAAGACTATGCAATGGAGAAAGAGCCGGCCGGATTTGTTATATTTCCCACATGGTGATCCGGCGCAGCAATGAAAAGGGGGGATGGATTGAGTTTTATCCATTTGATTAATTTTTTAAGTAAATTAATGACAAATTTTCACTGATAATGACCTCATTAACTTTGCACTTATTTAACATCGACAATATTTAGACTTTTACCCCAACTATACACCATATGCCTTCAATTTTTCTCCCCTTCTTAATTAGATCATCATAATGGTCGTAGAAAAAAAATAGTAAAATTTCTAAAAATCCCCACTTACGGTTTGTATGGCTGTAGCTTTCAATTAAGAGTTGGAATAT